CCAAACCTGACTGTTCAGTGGCCTCTGGCAGATGGCAGCCACCGAGCCGCCAAGGGGGAGCAGGTGGAGGGACAGCATCCTTTTCCCCCTGGGGTGGCCCAGCGACAGTAACCTACTGCGGGGTCCGGATGCATTTCTGCCAAAAACCACTGGGTATCAAGATTTGTTTCCGAACCTCTGGGATCATGGCCGTTAAGCAGACATTAGCTCCATTTAAAAAAATGAAACCCCTTTGATTTAAAAACATGAGTAGAAAACTTTGTTTTGCATATGATATAGCTCTAAATTTTTAGACTAGTCTATGGAGTAGACAAAATGTGAAATTTTATTTTTCCATTTTCATTTTTGGAGGCACAAGTAAAGATGGATTTATTTTGCCTGAATGTGAAAATAATAATCATCAATGTGGCTGCAGCATTTTCTCTCTGCTCATTCTGTACTCATTTTTTTTCAGTTCCAAATATCATTTGCATGAACCTGATGATGTTGAGTATGAATGTTGCAGAGGAGTGATAGCTTCCCTTTCATATTGAAGCTGAAGCTTCAAAGAGAAGATTAAAGAAGTGTTTGTTATCTATCTGCACAGGCCTGATATGAAATTCTCAGAGGCTTTTAGGATAAACACAACTGTGTGTTTATATGCTTGGCCCCCTATATATTTCTATTGTAGTTTTTGTTTTTTTGTTTTAAAATTCTCGTTCCAGACTTGTTGGAGCCTCTGGCTAAGAAATAATTGCTTCATAATGAAAGATAAGAATGAGAAGATGTGGGGCTGGAGAGATAATAAGTGGGTAGGGTGTTTGCCTTGTACACTACCAACCTGGTTTCAAACTCCAGCATCCCATATGGTTCCCCCAAGCACTGCCAGAAGGTATTCTGAGCCAAGAGTAACTCCTAAACATTGCCAGGTGCAGGCAACCCCCCACCTCATCCAGTCCCTGCAAAAGGATGAGATGATGTTGGCAGTTTTTGACTAGATGCCTCCAGAAGAGCATAGCGTCTTCCAGTGGTGAATCATTTTTCCAAGGAGTGTGATGGAGACCATCCACAGGATATGTCTAATAAGATAAGATCCAGATCTTAAACATGTCCAGCAGAGAATAATCCATGGCACCTTCCAGTGTGAGAAGAGATTGCTCAACTTTGGGGCTTCACTTTTAGAAGAGCCCTCTGTGAGCTATGGGATTGGCGTGTGTGTGTGTGTGTGTGTGTGTGTGTGTGTCTGCATGTGTCTGTGTGTACAGACTTTCTTTAGAGTTCTTCCATGATTGATAGAAGAGACAAAGAAAGGGTAGCAGGATAATTTTATACCTTCTGAAAGATAGTGACACTGACATTCCATTTCATGCCATTCCATGCCAAATCCTACATGTGATTTCCCCTGTCTCTTCCCTTTGTTGTTGTTGCAGTGGTTGGAGGGTTTCTTGCACATGCCTGGTTATGATGCTATACACTTTTGGTCTGGCACTCTATAGGGGTTGCACATCTGGGTGTAGTGTTTACACACCTGGCTGTGGTGCTCACTGAGGGGGCTGTATTCCTTTAGTTCTGGTGTTTACACACATTCTGGGTATAGTGCTTGCCAGGAGTCACACACTTTAGTTGTGGTGTTCACATGTGTGTTCACCAGGGCCTGCACTTTCCTTCTGGCCACAGTGCTTTCACATCTTTCAATTGCAGAGCTTGCCAAAGATATCAGCCATTGCACACATCTCTTTGTAGTGCATATACAGCTCTCAGCATGCATCTGACTGTAGTGCTGCCAGAAATCACCCAAGGCACCAGGGATTACAAACAGCAGAGACCATACCCTGTGTGTCCAGTGCCACTGGGCACTGGGTATAGAATTTGTTGCCTTACATTTGCATGTCAGCTGCTCTGAGCTCCTAAGCTATTCTTAAGACCTGAATTTATTGACTGTTTTTAGGAGGGAAGGCCATACCTGACTCTGCTCAGGGCTTATTCCTAGCTCTGTGCTCAGGGATTACTCCTGGTGGTGATTGGGCAACCATATGTGATTGTGATGCTAGGGATTGAATCCAAGTCAACATTATATAAGGCTAGTGCCTGACCCACTAGATTATCTCTCTGTCTCCCCAATATATGACTTTTTTGGGACAAATATTTAACTATAGTATCATCAAGTATAAAGCATAGTCGTCTACTCAACATCTACTATAGAGACATGCTATTACATTTTATACTGTTAAATTGAATTCATTTCTGTTAAATTGAATCAGTAATACTGTTGGTATTGGCAGAACGAAATTCAGTATATATGAACTTATGAAATCCTCTTAAGAAGAGAAACCATAAAACCAGGGCACTTTGTAAAGACAGAAAAGAAGACAAAAAATATGTGAGTTAGAGGGGGAATTGAATTGTGTGTATGTCTGGGGAAGTCAAAAGGATAGATGGAAATAATCAGTGGTATAGTTAACTTAATAGCATTCCTAGCGTTGGTTTTTTGTGTTTTTTTTTTGTTTATTTGTTTTAGTTTGTCTTAATTCTGTTTTGTTGGACCACACCTAGTGATGTTAAGAGCTACTCCTTCTTGGCGTGGTGTTTGGAGGTCACTTCCAGCAATATTCGGGGACCAGTGGTTCCAGGAATCAAACCTGGGGCTCCCACATGCAAAATAGCACTTCAGCGCTTTGAGGTCTCCTCTTGGTCCCTAGAGTTAATAGATTTCCTACAGATGATATCATTGATATTTTTAGCAAGCAGATTAGGAACATACATATACACATGTCCTCATATTTGTATGTATTCACACCCTAATTTCTACTGATATTGAGTTAGATGTTGAGTAATGATTCTAATGGGGGGAAGACAGTTCCTCAGAAGAAGATATTTTCTTTTGTAAAATACTTTTTCTTTTTCTTAAGTAAGTTAAAACATTTTTACTGAGGTACCAGGGTTTATAATACTGTTAATTATATATATTTGCATATATTATTCCAACATCACATCCACTACTGTCCCCAGAGCCCCCCACCCGATTTCTATTTTAATTGCAGCTAAGGTTACATAGTTAGAATATTGTTAACTTTTATGGTTTTGATAAACAAAGTTATTGCACCTTCATCACCATCAGACCCTCTGCCTTTTCCCCTCCCTTCAATGTTTGGTAATCTCAACATTTCTCACCCTTTGTATAGTGTATGATGTTTCACAGAAATGAATTTTATGAAAAACTCTTTATGGTGGCTAGGTTCAGTGGAAAGCTGCACTGTCCACTAGATGAATATAGATCCAACATGTTAATATGTACAACTTACTAAAATTCCTCCCAGTTTCAGCCCTCACACTGAGGTGAGTGCCCTCCTTCCTGGATATTACAGCTTTACATTTTCACTTCTTTTTCTACTTCTTTCTTTCTCTTTCACTGAAGATGCCAGAGCTTTCCTGAACTTTCCTTGCCCTCTAACCCAAATATCAAACATTGCATTTCACTTGATTGCCTGCCTAGACTGACCTGGGAAAAGGAAGGAAGATGAAAAGTCCCTTGTGAGGTTTCTTCGCACATTGTCTAACTCATCTCTGATGATTTTCCACAAGTTCATTTTTAGATTATTGAAGCATACTCCTCACAGATACCCTTCCTCTCCATTTCCTGCATTTTTGTCATATGAAGAACAAACTAGGGCCAGAGAGATGGTACAGCAATAAAGTGCTTATCTTGCATGCGGCTATTCCTGGTTCGATCTCCAGTATCCCATATTGTCCCCTGGGCACTGCCAGGAGTAACACCTGAGCATTGTCTGATGTGGCTCCCTGCCCCCAACAAAGAGGAAAAAAACTAGTACTCACTGGATTAATATTCCTCTCTAAAGCAGTTATACCTTTTTTCTATTTGTGAAATACACACCATTATCTTTATTATTCCTTTTTAGGTTATGGATCCTTCTAAGAATTGGATAAAACTTCAGAATCTCTTCCTAGTGAAAAAAAAACTGCATATATGCAAGTTTGAGAAGTCTAGTGAGAATAGAAAACTATTCTATTTAATGGCATGGAAGTTACTATATCCACAACAAGAAATAATATGTGTGAACTCTAAGCAAGACAGTAGTATGTCAAAGAAAGAGAATGAATGGGAGCGGAGAAAATAAGGAGAAAAAAATATAGATAATTATTTTGAAAATTTTAGTGTGATAGGAAAGAAGACAGCAGTTGGAGGGGGATGAAGTAGGGGAGGCGAACTTGGGTTATTTTATATGAGCACAAATGTTGATGGCCAGGACCAACTTGGAAGGAAGAGGTTGAATATATACAAGAGAAAATCGATATAGATTAATGTAAGGTTCCTGTGAAGCAGGAGGAAATGGAATCTAAAGTGCTATAGACTTTTGTGGTTTGCCACCATATATAACATTGTTTTTGTTGGAGAAAAATGCAATTTAGCTCCCCCAAAAGTGCCTTACTGATGATCCTTTTCACCACTACTGGGTCACTCATTCTAGGACTTTAAGGCTTCTTGGTTTTTCTAACCATTTTATAAAATAAAGGTGGAGGTAGAAGGATATATCAGACTAGTAGAGCCTACATCTTATCTCAGAAATTAGAATGTTAGATGACTTTGAGTCAGTTGTTCATGGCATTGGATGTATTTAAGGATGTGCATAGGGAAGATGTTTTGGTTGTCATAACAACTGGGAATGCTACTGGATTTGGTGCTGCTGACTGTCCTGTCGTACAAGGGGCAGGTTGTCATAAAAAGAAGTGATAATCACTTCCTATGAGAAATCTGGTCTCCAGCTAGGCAAACTCTGTGACCTTTCCAAATCTAAAGTCAGTTATTTAAGCAGGTATAGCTTGCCTCCTCCAAATCTCCTAGAATCTTTCCAATCTCAGAGACAATCTTTTGATTTTTCTCACAGTGGGTAATGGCTTTAGCTAGTTATTACTGACCCTTTAGCTACTTTTTTTGATTTTATGCTGAGACTGAAAAAAAAATTCAAGTTTCACTTATCTCCATTCTTTTCTTTTTATTTCAGATATTATTGGGATTTTCAGCCTTCAGGTGAGTCTTTTTCAGCCATTTATGGTTTTAGTCTAAAAATGTCAATGGTTTTGTTTATTTCTGTTTCTTCTAAATATGCTTCTCAAAGGACTGGTATTAGCCATTTCTGAGGAAAGTTAGTGGAGTGTTTAATTAACCTTCACCCTGCTGGGTACCCCACCCCCTGCATTTTTACCAGCAAGAAACTCTGATGCTTCTGCCCTCCGAGTGAATTGCTGTTATATTATTTTATAGCACCAACACTGTAATACTCCTATCCATTGAGCTTTGTTAGACGCCAGCAGGAAACACTTGCATTCAACTAAAATGGTGGCCGAGACCATAATGAAAACCTTGGGAGGGTTCCAACTCAGCTAATCCTTCATTTGCTCCAGAAATAAATTCCAGTATGTTACCTCCTCGATCACAGTATCCTGTATGCAGCCTGCCTGTCTGGCAGCACGGAAATGTCAGAAATGGAACCGTGTTGAAATTCCCACTAGAACAGTGTTATCACATTTTAATATGAGCCTCACTGCAGCCTCAGTGCTTCTAATTGCTTTCAATCCATTGTTTCCCTGCTTTTGCTTGATGAACCCAGCATCTGGCATGATTCTAAAAAGTACAACAGACAGCTGTGTGCAAAATTTTTAAAAAGACAGGATTAAGACACATTTTTAACAGGTTTAAAATTGGAACATTATTTTCTGAATTCATTTTGGTGTGATGTCTTTAAGATAGATAAGATAGACACACTCCTTTTTTGTATCCTGGTTGAAAAAGTAGAAAAACATAATCCTGAATCTTAATTATATTAACTTATAAACTGGGAGTTTTTATTTCCAGAGTTTTAGAGCAGACTTCAGCTTCTAGAAGTCCAATGCGCTATCCATTGCGCCACGGAGGTATGCCAAACACAGTAACAAGTCTCACAATGGAGACCACTCGAGCAAATCAATGAACAATGGGAGGATAGTGCAGTGTTACAGAGCAGACTTGCAAATAGCTTTGTGAACTATTTTGTTCTAACCAATTTTGTAAACTTTCCCAGTACTTTTGTTTCTCTTAGTAATGTCAATTCACATAGCCTGAATGAACATTAATACCTTAATTTAAATTATAAATGATAATCTAAATTTTATTAAAATTTTAGTTTGTGGGGGAAGACAAAGAAGTGGTAGCACATAGACAGAGCATATATGAAACCCTGAAATTCGTCCTGGCACCGAGGCTGAAGAGAAAGCTCAATGGACTGGAGCACATGCATTATGTGAAAGAGATTGGGTCTCAGTCCCACACACCAGGTGGTCCCCCAGAATATCAGCAGGACTCACCCCCAGCACTAGCCTGGAGTAGTCTTTGAGCACTGCCAGGTGTCCCAAAACCAAACAAATCAAAACTTATCCCTGATACTACCACATGGTAGGACCCTGAGCATTGCTTGTAGTGACTAGAAAAACAGAGTGAAACAAAAAATTAGAACTTTCTTTATGGTGGGGCAGGGAGTTGGGGGTGGATTTTTTTTTTTTTTGCCATACCCAGCAGTGTTCAGAGCTTATTCCTGGCTCTGTGCTCAGGGATCACTCTTGGTGGTCCTGGAGATCAAACTGGAGTCTACCATGTACAGGGCAAGTACCTTAACCCCTATACTTTCTCTCTGACCCCAAACTAATTTTTTAACTCATATTTTGTTTTAGTGTATTTTTAGAGGCCCTCCCGTTGATCGTCGATTTGCTCGAGCGGGCCCAGTAACGTCTCCATTGGAGACTTTGTTGTTACTGTGTCTGGCATATCGAATACTCTCGGTAGCTTGCCGGGCTCTCCGAGAGGGGCGGAGGAATCGAACTCGGGTCGGCCATGTTGGCCGCTTGTAAGGCGAACGCCCTACCCGCTGTGCTATCGCTCATTTTAAAGTTAATTTTAAGAAATGAAAAACACTTTAACTCTTTTTAGTCTTGCAAGTTAGAGTCAGAGTATTTGTAATTTAATTTTGTTTGGGGAGGTGCTATACTTGGCAGTGCTCAGGACTTACTCCTGGTGATACTTAGGAGACCATATGTGGTGCTGGGGGTGGTGGAACCCAGACAAAGCAATCACCAACCCTCTATACTACTTCTCTGGCTTTACACTGTAACATTTTAAGTAATATGTGTGATGTTATATGCTTCAATTTCCTAAAACATTTATAGCTGAGAATGCAGATTGAGAATAGTGAATTATATGAAATAATGTAGCATCTTGCTTTGAAAAGCATAAAACACATTACTTAAAGAATGACCATATAGCTCAAGGTTTAACCAAAATTCACAGGGAAAAAGACTTGAATGTGAACTGGCAGAAATGAATGGAACTGTGTGGTAGGATTCATTCCCTAAAGAAGAAAAAGAATTTGTGCCTGAGAAGTGGTATAGTAATGCGTGGAGAAGAGGAAATGCTTTTGAAGCTTGCCACAAAAGACTTTGGAGCTGAAAAGATTAGGGCTTCACCTTGGGAGACTCTTATGATAGTGGCTTATAGGCATTTTTCAGCACAGGACAACTACTCTCTTACAGAGCTTTTTTCTTAGAGAGCTGCAGTTGAACATCCAGGCATCATTGGAAAGAGATTATTTAAGCTAGAAAGCTGTATTTGCTTCTTAACAATGATTTGATATACACTGGAAATTTTTTTCTCACTGGGATGTAAATGTAAGGAAGGACTGAGTAGAAAAAAATGATTCTCCATTTCTTTTTTATTTTTTATGGGTTTTGGGTTTTCCGACTTTCTTTCCCTCTTTCTTTTTTTTAAATTTTTTTTTTTTTGGAGGGGGAGGGAGAGAAGTCACATCCTACTATACTCAGGGCAAAGTCCTGGCTCTGTGGCCAGGGCCTAGTGGGGCTAGTGGGACCCTCTGGAGTGCTAACCTGGCATCTAACCGAGGTAGCTGTATGCTAGGCAAGCACCTTACCGGCTTCACTATTTCTCTGGTCCTCATTGTTTGTGTGTGTGTGTGTGTGTGTGTGTGTGTGTGTGTGTGCGCGTGTGTGTGTGCGCGCACGTGCGCGTGTGTTTGATAGTACTCATATTATTGTTTTTTTCTTGCCGTTCTGCTACCCCGTGCCTACCTCCAGAGTGCTAGGATTTCTTCACCATTATCCAAAGGGCCTCTCACTACCTCAGGCCCCTCTGGTCCCAGTTTTGTGGACTATATCTCTGGATTGTTTATTGGGAATTGTCTAATCTCTTACTTTATTTCTTTCTACTCCTCATGTAAATGAGATTATATGATGTTAGTCCTTTTTTTCCTCATTCACTTTACTTTGGAACTACCAGTTCCATTTATGCCACAGCAAACTTCAAAATTTCATCTTTTCTCATAGTCGAGTAGTACTCCATTATGTGCAAATATCAGTTTCTTTATCCAGCCCATGTATTCATGATATTGTTGGATTTTAGTACTTGTAATGATGCTGTGATGAACATGATGAACATAGCTGTGCATATTAAGAACAGAGCTCCTAGAGAGAACACAGGGGATTGCCCTGCCACAGAGGCAGGGGGGAATGGGGGGATGGGGGTGGGGGGGATGTTATCCATGGTGGTAGAAAATGGGCACTGGTGGAGGGATGGGTATCTGATAATTGTATAATCAAACCCAAGCACAAAAAATTGTAAATCTACAACTGTACCTCATGGTGTTTCACTAATAAAAAAAAATTTTTTAAAAAAAAAAAGAACAGAGCTCCTGAATAACCATGCAGTTCTGCTCTTGACCTTCTATACCAAGAACATAAAAACACACGCCTACTTCTTACCTTCAGCTTTGCTTCTTTCCCCAAGACATGTGGCTAGAAGGAGGAAGAGAGAGAGATGCATCTTTGATCTTCCCCTTTTAATTTTGATCTTATCTGATGGCTTCCAAAAGCTGATTAGGTGAGTAGGAAGAGTAACAGGTCCAAGATGAGGAACTCCAGAACAATTTAGGGCTGTGAAAAGAATAGAAATTATAAGAAAAAGAACAGCAGGCAGAATTTTAAAATCCCTAGAAGACTAGGTAGGACCAGGAAGAGTGGGAAAGGACAGAAATGATGGCCCTAAACTTTCCATTTTTATTTATGGCAGGAAGATAGTAAGGTAAATTTTATTAACTCTGTGTATTTATGAAAAGACTTACTTGTGCTCTTCAGGATAAGACTAAGCCAGAGTCTGGTGTCTTGTCTAGAAGGAAAATAGCCTTTAGATATAAGAGTTGCCTTACTTATAAAGCTCTTTAGTAGCACACATTAAGCCATCTGATTATGGTGAAGTCTTTTAGAATTTGTTACAATGTGCAGAAAGGATAACCTCTAAAAACAGATGCTTAGGAGAATGGCCTGCATAAATGTGGAGAATTACTAGCAATTTGTTTCTTATTACTTTCACCCCCTGTTTAACATCCTGAAGGAGTTACCATAGAAAAGTATTAAAAAGCATTTTGTCCTGTATTGGAGAGAAAACATGGCATGGTAGGAATATAGCATCAACATTAAGACTTGAGAGACCGGATTCAGATCTCACCTCTCTCACCTATCATTTTGCTAATGGTCATGTAACTTTAAAGTTGCTTAAGTTTTCTAAATCTCTGATTCCTTAATAGTAAAATTGGGTTGTGCCATATTCCATAATGTTCTTAAATTCTAAACTCTATTTTTAACTTACTTTTTTACAATAGTGTCAAAATAATTGTTTTGTACTTATATAACTGTTCCATCAACCCCTACACATTATCCCAAGGTTCCTTCCTTGACCTCTTCTTAGCCTCCTCAGTTTCCACTTCTCTAGATCCTGTCTCATGATTTGATTCCACTGGAGGTTAATATCTAATCCTTTTCTTTGTTTCTTTGTACTCCAATATGAGTGAGATCATCTGATATTTTCTTCAACTCTTGAATTCATTTCCCTTAGAATGATACCATCCAATTTCATCCAAGTTGAGCAAACTGCAAAATTTTGTATTTACTTATGTAAAATTCCATCATATATGTACATGTAGATGTACATAT